AAATACAGTTATGACTAATGAATTTAAGTTTATATTTAATAAAACTTTGCTTTTATTTTATTAACTATTTATATATTCTTAATAAAAGTTACGAACTTTATATTGAAAAACTTTAAAATTAAAAATATGTACCTTCTAATTATAATTTGAAATCAATATTCCTTTATTAGTTGAAATTAAATGAAAGTTTAACAAAAGTTTTCGAATATACAAAAGTTATTGTTGAAATTAAAGTTAGTAAAAATAATAATAATATTATTTTTGTCTATTTTCATTTTTTTTATTCTATTATAACTATTTATTAGCTATACTAGTTTTTATAAATAATTTATAAACACTTTATTTTGTTAAAAAATCCAGAATTAGTATACTATTTCTTAAAGCCAGCTTTTAAATAGTAATTTATTTAGTAAAAAAATTAATTCTAATTTTCTAGAAAATTGCAGAGTAAAAATATCGAGAATTAAAAATTAATATCAATTTGTATTAATTTTTAAACTCTCTAATAGATTTGATTGGAAATAATTTTAGAATTTACGAAAATATTGACGAATATCTTGATATTCAATATGGAGATTTTTTTCTCCACCTGAGAACGTCAAGGTCACCGCTAGATGGCAGTTTAGTTTCCAGGAACACACCAACACGCCACCTGGTGATGACCTTGGCGTTCTCAGGTGGAGAAATTCAGTTTATCTCTCAAAAACTTTTTTATAATTATTAACAATTAATAAAATGCAAAAAATTTTATTGTGAAAATAATTTAAATTGTCTTTTAGTGCACATTTTTTAACATTAAATAAAAAAAATAATTTAATAGTATTATTACATTATAATAAATTAATAATATTTAATATTAAAATAAACAAAAAAAAAATATAACAAAATTATAAAAAACAAATAAATATAAATTTAAAAAAAAGTTAATAAAAAAAAACAAAAATATAAAGAAATAATAAAAAAAACTCTGACGAAATTAAATAAATAAATAAATCTTGTTAAAATAAATAAATATAATAAACCTACTTGACACATGCAATAAATTTAGGTTAATTGATGATTAGTAAACTTTCACATTACAATATGTCATTTTTAATTTAAATAATGTTATATAGAAACTTTGTAAGTGAATTATTCTAAAAAGTAAGTTTAAAATGATTAAAAGTAGTTGAAATTTAAGTGAAGAGGTGAGAAAATTGAGAGAGAGAGAGAGAGAGAGAGAGAGAAAGAGGGAGAGAAGGCAAAAAAAGTGAGGAATTTGCTTCAGAAGGAAAAAAAAATTAAGTGCGAACTTCTTTAAAAACACCTTGTTTGAAAATTTTTTTGAAACAATAGAGTACTTTAGTATTTTTTTTCCTCTTATTTTTTTTAATGCACTAGAATAAAATTTGAACGATAATAAACTGCAACACATAGAAGAATTTTAATTGATCTTAAATTGTAAATTGCTCTTGAAAAAAAAATTTCCTTCTCTTAAAATTAAAATCTCCAGTTACTTATGTGTAAGAGATGCTGATAATAACATTTAAAAAAAACATTTTTAAAAATTTTAGTCGTTAAAATTAAAAAACAAAAATAGAAAACTAAAAAACGTAAAAAATGAAGTCAACTAAATATAAATCAAATAAATAAATCAAAAAACTTGAGGAAATTTAAAATTGAAGAAAGTGAAAATTAAGAAATTTAAATATTATAAAATTAAAATGAAAGGAAAATGTAAAATTAAAAATTGAAGAAAGTAAAAATTAAGAAATTAAAAAATTGTAAAATTGTAAACGTAAAGAAATTGTAAAATTAAAAATTGAAGAAAGTAAAAATTAAGAAATTCAAAAATTGTAAAATTGTAAACGTAAAGAAATTGTAAAATTTTTAATTGAAGAAGTAGAAATTAAAAATTTTCAAAATTATAAAATTAAAAATTGAAGAAAGTAAAAATTAAGAAATTCCAAAATTGGAAAATTGGAAAAGTAAAGAAATTGTAAAATTAACAATTGGAGAAAGTAAAAATCAAGAAATTCCAAAATTGGAAAATTGGAAAAGTAAAGAAATTGTAAAATTAACAATTGAAGAAAGTAAAAATTAAGAAATTCCAAAATTGTAAAAGTAAACAAAATGGTGAAATTAAAATTTGAAAAAAAAAATTAAAGAAATTAGAAATTACAGAAATTAAAAATTAAGGAAATGAAAAATTCAAGAAAGTAAAATCTAAAAATCAAAGAAATTAAAAATGAAATAAATTAAAATTAAGGAAACTAAAAATTGGAGAAATTAAAAATTAAAGAAATTGTAAAATTACAAATGAACGAAAGTAAAAATTAAAAAAAAAGAAGAAAATTTATAAACTAGAATAAGCGAAAAATTAAAATCCAAAAAAATAAACAAAATTTGAATAATACACAAAATATCGAAAAACATAGTTAATCAATAGAAAAAAATAACAAATTACATTGTCACTGAAGAAGAAGAAATGAAAAAAATAGTACTTTCCTGATAAAAAAAAAGTGTGAGAGAGAGGCCATTTCTGAATTTAATACAAGTTTTTCCAATTTATTATATGCCTTCCAATAAGTAGTTTTTTTCAATATAACGCAGCTAGCATTAAAATTCTGTGAAGTAAAATCCAATTTAGAACGGTGAGAGAAGCATTTGCTTTCAACGGATGATGGTGTCCTTTTAGTAAAAGTCTTTTTTATTTTCTTTTTTTTTCTTTTTCTCTTTTTTTTTCCTTTTCTTTTTTTTCTCTTTTTTTAACGTAAAATTTAGAATAAATTGCTAGAAGGTTGGAAAAAAAGATACACCAATTGTCATACACAGAATTTCTTTAAAATTCAGTTGTAAAAAAGAAAGCAAAAAAAAAAAAAAAAAAAACTCCCCCTCTTCACATTTATGCGGAGTATTCGCATATATGATATATTATCAGAAGGAAAAAAAATTAAATTACTCTCACAATACCGGAAGGCACAATGCAAAAAAAAAAAAAAAAAATGGTATGCGTCTTCAATTTTAAAACGAAATATAAAAGCGGCTCTGCTTTTTTTGTGAATATACGCACCATTATGTATTGATTTAAAAAGGCAATAAGAATATTAAAAAAATAATAATAAATATGGGTACTAATAAAAAAATAAAAAACCAATAAAAAAAATATTAATAATAAAAATAGTAGTATTAATATTTCGAATGACAATAATTATTAATATTTTTGGAGACCACTTTAGCGAATATTTTTTATTAATATTTGAAAAAAAGATTGAAAAAAATTACTATTATTTTTGTTCATTTGCAATTGTTACTATTATAAAATGAAATAATATAAAAAAATAATTTTTAAATCTATTAAAAAATAATAACTGAAAACAAAAATTTCCCCATCATTAATCTTGATGGATTTGTGTCAAAAAATTTTTAGTAAACAGCAAAAAAAGAAAATATCCAATTTTTCTTCGTTTTATGAAATATGAACATTCTCAGCTTTCATAAACTTCAAACACCATTCAGGATTTCTCTCCTCTCTCTCTCTCTTTTTTTTTTTTTTTTTTTTTATATAAATGTAAATTGATGCTCACACTTTTATCTTTGTCAAACATGATGTTTATAATGAATTCTAAAATGCGTTTCTCCCTTTTATATAGAAACACAAAAAAAAACCAGTTTTCATCTATACTCATTTATTTATTTTTTTATCAATATTCATTTTTTCATTTTAAAAACAAAACAAAAAAAATTTCTCTCTATATTGCAACTGGTAAAACAATTTATTTCATTGGCGTCAATAAATTTCCTTGTTAATGTAGCGAATAATTTTCAATATATGTGAAAAATAATTTTTTTCTTCATTTCTGTGAATGTAAATGAAAATGTCAAATGGCAAATGGCAAATATTTTATATACAATAATATTTAATGATAATAATTCATATTTCAATATTAATAATAAAAAAATCAATATTTGAATATAATTTGGAAAAAAATAAAAATACCTAATAAAATAATGACGATAAAATATTAATTATTCTAAAGAGCAGGATTTTTTTTTTGGTAAAATAATAATTAGAGTTTTGCTTTATAAATAAATAAATAAATAAATAAATAAATGTAATAAATGGAAAAATGAAAAGGAAAGCTAAAAATGAAAGTATTAAAATGAAAAATTAAATTGAAAAACTAGAAATGAAAGTATTAAAACGAATAATTAAAATGAAAGTTTTAAAATAAAAAATTAAATTGAAAAACTAGAAATAAAATTATAAAAACAAAAAATAAATAGAAAAACTAAACACTAGGAGTTATTAAATTGAAAAACTAAAAATAAAATTATTGAAATGAAAATTTAAATTTAAAAACTAAAAATGAAGTTAATAAAATAAATAATAAAATTAAAAAATTAAGTCATAAAATCAGAAATAGAATAAAAAAAAATCGAAAATTAAAAGTCGAAAAAAAATTAAAGAATAAAAAATAAAATTAGGAAATCAAAAATAAAATAAAAAATAAAAGTAGAAAAAAAATTAAAATTAAAAAATTAAAAATTAAGTTACAAAATCAAAAATAGAATAAAAAAAATAAAATTAGAAAATAAAAAATAGAAAAAATAGAAAATTAATAAATTAAAATTAAAAACAGAAAATTTAAAAGCGAAAAACAGAATAAAAAAAGAAAAAAGAATTATTCGTCCAATATAAAAAAGAATAAATCTTGAGAGAATTTAAAATAATTAGACTGCGGATAATTACACAGACACTGATTTTAGATTTAATTTATTTTCCACACACCATTTTCCCGCATTGAGAGAACATCTGCTCTTTTTCTAACATTGAATACCAAACCAGGGTGTTGATAAAAATTTTATCTCTTCTCCGAGACACTTTCTCTATTTTGCATATGTATTAAATTTTAATCAATATTAAAAATCAGGGCATTTTACGTATTTTTAGAAGGAAAAAAGATAAAAAAAAAAATTTCCGCAGAAAATTGAAAAATTATTTTTTTTTTTTTACTTACCAAAAAAGCAACAGAAGAAAACAATTGAGTAGAGTGTTATGAATATTATTTTCACTTCAATTCTATCGAAAATATAGTCTTCATTTATTGTTGAATTGTCGTTAAAAATTGTTTCGTTGTAAAAACTTTCGTTTTCATAGTTGTCCATGACCATCTTTTGAAATGGGCTGCAAAAGAAAAATGGAGAAATTCAAATTAGCGAGATTTTAATTACTAAAATTTTTAAAATTTGTTTAAAATTAGAAATTAAAATTAAATTTGAAAATTAAAATTTTTAATTATAAAGTGAAAAAGGGGAAAATTGAAAAAATGCAATTGAAAAATTTCAATTTCAAATTGAAATTTGAAATTGAAAATTCAATTTTAAATTCTAATCGAAAATTGGAATTGAAATTGAAATTGGCAATTTTATCAAATTTAATAGAAAACGAAAATTTTTCTTTGACATTCAAAAGGACAATTTTAAATTAAAATTGAAATACAAATAAATAAAAATTTTTACTTGAAATTGAATTTATGATAATTTTAAATTGAAATTGAAATTAAAATTGAAAATAACGATTTTAAATTGAAATTGATGTTAAAATTGACAATTTGAAATTGAAAATAAAATTTACGACATTAAATTCAATTTTAAATTCAATTATAATTTTTTTTTTTTCTTTCATTTATTATTATAAATTGAAATTAAAATTAAAAAGGACAATTTGAAATTGAAAAAAGAAATTAAAATTAAAATTGACAATTTTAAATTCATTTATAAATTGAAATTGAAATTTAAAAGAACAATTATAAATTAAAATTGAAAATGACAATTCTAAAATAAAATTTAAATTACAAAGGACAATTTTAAATTGAAATAGAAGTCACAATTGAAATTAACAATTTTAAATGCAATTATAAATCGAAATTGAATTTAAAATAGAGTTTTAAGTAGAAATTAAAATTGAAATTGACAATTTTAAATTCAATTATAAATCGAAATTGAAAATAAAATATTCAAAAAAGAAATTTTGATATTAAAAAGACAGTTTTAAATAGAAATTAAAATTGAAATTGACAATTTTAAATTCAATTATAAATCGAAATTGAAATTAATAGCAATTTTTAAGTCAAATTAAAGTTGAAAATGATAATTTTAAATTGAAATTAAAATTGAAAATAACGATTTTAAATTGAAATTGAAGTTAAAGAATGACAATTTTAAATTGTAATTAAAATTAAAATTGAATACAACAATTTCAAATTGAAAGTAAAAATTACAATTTTAAATTCACATTCAATAATTAAAAACTAGCTAAAAATAATTGAAAACTGCCAATTTCAAATTAGAATTGAAATTAAAATTTCGAATTTACAAAGAAAAAAACTGTAAACAAAAAAAAATGTCAAATAATTTTTTTCGTACATAAAAATTGCTCTCGTGAGTTTCAATCAGTTTTTTATTAAAATTATTTTAACATTCAAAGCGAATGTAATTAGATCATTTTCCAGTTGATTTATAAAACCTTGTTAAATGCAAACTTTCAGCGAGACTTGAAATTAACTTTGTGATTAAGCATTCGTCCTTTCTGTTTCTTAAAGACTACTATATTTCATAAAAGGGACGAAATTTATTATACTAGATTTCATTTTTCTTTTCTTCTTTTTGACGATAATTTATTATATTAAATTTAAAAATATAATGTCATCAATTTTTTTCCCCCTTTTATTTATTTATTTATTTTTTTTTTTGAGAAAATTATTTCTAATCTTACAATTTGTGTCAATTTACTTTAGGAATTTTGTATTATATAGAAATATTTCATTTGTACAAACACTATAAACCAGGAAATTAAAAATAAAATTAAACTAAAAGTAAAATTAAATAAAATTAAAATTTAACCGCGAGAATGAAATAAAACTAAATTAAAATTAAACTATGAAAATAAAATGAAACTAAAAATAAGATTAAAATTAAAATTATACCTAAAATTAAAATCAAAATTAAAAACGCAATTAAAAATAATTATTTACTTATTTTACACTAAAAAGACCAAAAATTCGGTTTTCTAATAAAAACAATTTAAAAACAAAATAACAAACAATTTAACAAAAAACAAATTTTAATTAATATTAAAATTATAATTAATAATAAAATAAATTAGTAAATAAAAAATAAATAAATATTAATTTTCTGTATGAAAATCAATTAAAAATAATTTAGAGAAATATTTTTATTTTTATTTTTTATTTTTATTATTTTTATTTTATTTATTACATTTTTAATTAAATTTCTTTTTATTTTTAATTTAATTGCTTTTAAATTTAATTTTTGAAATAAATAATAATTGAAAATTTAGAAAGAAAAGAACAGATTTAAATGTGGGAGAATTTTGTTTGCAGACTATAATTAAATGAGAAATATAATATATTATTTCCGATAAATTAGAGTTTATATATAAACATATAATATTTTATCAAGAGTAATTAATTATTTAGATTGCATTGCTATTTATTTGTATCGTGTTTGTATTTTTCATTAAACTAATTGCAAATTAATTGCATTTTAAAAAAATGAAAATTCAACCACATATATTAATTAATCATGTCTCAATAAACGATGTTTTCTGTTTTTAGAAAATTTCAAATTATAACGTAAAGATCAATGTGTTTCTCGCACATTTGCATTAAAAAAAAATTTCTAATTACAAGAATAAATTTTAATTAACACTATAATTACTCCAGTAATTATAATCCTGATTATTGCTTAAATTTTACTTTGTATTTCTTTTTTGTTTTACCACAAATTAGAATCAATTTTAATGAACGTAATTTGTGCGCAAATGAAAAGAGAAATTTTATTGGAAATTTGATTTTGATTTCAATAATTAATTAAGATTTGTGTTTTCGATTGATTATTTTCAAAAAGGATTAATTATTAATTATTAATTGTTTAATAACAACAAATCAAATGTTCTGCTCTTGAAAATATTATAGGTAATTAAAAACAAATTTTAATTAATTATAAAAATCAAATATTTTCTTTTTTGAAAATATTAATCAATTAAAAAACAAATTTTAATTAATTATTGAAGTCAAAATAAATTAGGACTTTTTTTTTAATTACTTCTGGTTGATATTTTCGAAAACGAAATATATTTCATAAAAATGAAAAAGAGGAGGAAAAGAAAGAAGAGAAAAGAAAAAGTAAAATAGAAAGGAAATAAAGAAAAAAAATTGGGAGAAAACAAAATATATACGAGAAAATAAAAATTATGAAAAAATAAAAATTTAGGAGATAACAAAAATTAAGAGAAATTAAAAAATAAGAAAAAAATAAAAATTACGAAAAAATAGAAAATAAAAATTACAAGAAAATTGAAATTACGAAAAAATAAAAATTGGGAGAAAACGAAAATTACGAGAAAAATTAAAATTGTGAAAAAATTAAAATTTAGGAAAAAACACAAAAAATTAAGAGAAATTAAAAAATAAGAAAAAAATGAAAATTACGAAAAAATAGAAAATAAAAATTATAAGGAAATAGAAACAAGAAAAAATTAGAATTGCGAGAAAATAAAAATTATGAAAAAGTAAAAATTACGAGAAAAATAAAAACAAGAAAAATTTAGAATATTACGAGAAAATAAAAATTACAAAAAAATAAAAATTTCGAAAAAATAAAGACAAAAAATAAAAATTGCGAGAAAATAAAAATTACTAAAAAAAATAAAAACAAGTAAATATGTAAAAATCACTAGAAAATAAAAAGGACGAAAAAATAAAAATTACGATGAAATAATAAGTTACTAGAAAACAAAAATAACAATGAAAATAAAAATTACTAAAAAATAAAAATTACGATGAAATAATAAGTTACTAGAAAATAAAAATAACAATGAAAATAAAAATTACTAAAAAAAATTTATACCAAAAAAAAAAAAAATTGCAAAAAAATAAAATTAAAATCGATAAAATTTGGTAAATTAAATCACGTCTGTGTAATTACATATAGACACACAAACGAAAAAGCATTCTTCACGAAATACATTCTTCTGAAAGGACAAACTAATTAAACACGGTAAATTGATATTTGAAGCTTCCTAAAATTTCATTTGTTAAAGGCAAGCCATTTTTAATTGAGAATCGATTTACTTTCACGATGGTACTTTTTTAATTAAAAAAAAAAAAAAAAAATGAAGAAAAAGATTTGTGATCAAGAAGGTACACAAGACTTTTTCTGTTTGTTAAATTGATCATACTACTTTGAAATGACATTTTTTTCTTCGCTGTTCATTTTTGTCATTATGATAGAAATTTTCTACTTAAAACTTTTTTTCATATATTTCGATTATTTACTTATTTTAATTAGTGAATTTTTTTAATCTAATTTTTTCACATTAAAAAAATTCACACATTTTTGAAAAAATTAATAATGTAATAAAAGAATATTTAGGTCTTTTATTGTAAAAATAATAATACTAATAATAATAATTATTATTATTTATTATTATTATTAATAATAATTAATAATTTAATTAAACTAATTAATAATAATAATAATTGCGATTAAATAATAAAATTATATTTTAATTAAAAATAATAATTATTATTATTATTACCATTATTTTAATTTTATTTTCTAATTACAATTATAATAAAACAAATAATACAATTAACTTTTGAGAACTAGTAAAACTACATTATTTTTTATAAAGATTTAATAAAAGAAGTTATCAAATCGAAATAAAATAAAAGAGAAAAAATAAATTAGAAAATAACCATGAGGCAGCAGTTTCTAATCAGAATGAGTATAAATTTTTATTTTTGTCAACTTTGGATTTATTAATTAATTAACCTATTTAAGAACTTATCGTTAATCTTTTCTTTGGTAACTTTGACGACAATATAAATTTCAATTTAGATCGGAAATTTTTTTTTAAATAATTTTTCGTAAAATATTTATATATCTGTTATTTGAAGCAAATAAATTTTTGTTTTATTATAAAATTAATGTAAAAATTCAAATAAATAATGAAAACAAACAATAAAAAAAATTAATAATAATATTTAATAATTTATAAAATTTGTGTTTTATTATAAAATTAATAATTTTTCTTCCAAATTAGGGAAATATTGCGAGCATATAATATCAATTATCAAACTATTTATATATAGATAGATA